ATTCATCGTACCATCACTAACAGATGCCGCGGCATCCATAGCCGTTGGACTTAGCTGTTAACTGAGAAGGCAGGTGTGGCTCCAGCGAACTCCATTTCTCCTTCAATCTCCTCCGCAAGTCGTCTAAGATCCCATCCATAGAGACGCCCAATTCGATCGCCAACCGTTTGGCTTGTTGCTTCGACAGTGAATGGATCCACGCCGACGGCATGATGACGTCATGGAACGGTCAGAAATCGGGTATAAGTTGGCAATACACATTAAACACAGCCCCCCCCCAAAACAAGAACACTCCCCGCAACTAATAGTCGGTGCCCAGTCACACTCAGGCACTAGAAGTAAAAACTACCACTGGGAGTGCCTGAACCAAACCACGCTCTGCTACCATTTGTGTGAGCCCCCACCCCACTAGCTGGGGGACGGGTATTCTCGTGTTATTTCAGTCAACCAAATAAATACAACAGACGTAAACAATCAAATCAAATAACATTTAATAAATGGTTAACAAATTGTACCAAAAGGAAAACACAACAATAATTTGGTATAACCAGGCACGAGATCTCTTAACCCAACTCGCAGACCACGCCCTTCTCCGCCACAGGCGGGGTGTAAGACATTTTTTACAAGAAACTCACGCTACATAATTCCATCTCGAAAAAAATCGCATTGGCACATAATACAAAGAAAAGCAAAACACACAGAATCTCGGCTTACAGAGTTCTTCAAAGAATCACCAATGAAATGGCAACATTATGTGTATTACCTGGAGATGGGCCCTCCTGCCTGGAGTCTAGTGCCAAACCAAATCTTTTCAAGGCGCCGGCCTAAACAGAATTTTGTTACGGAGCGACACGTCCGTTCGCTACGACGTTCCAGGCAGAAGAGGGCTGGTGCCTCAGCCGAATCAGGAAAGGCAGGGGAGTGATGACGTAAGATACGCCACGGAATAAGGATAAGTGGTAAGGAATGTAGGAAAACAAATGGTGCGGGCCGCGACCACCGCCGCTCAGAGAGGGCACTACATCCAATGAGCCGAAGAGATCGGCTCACGGGAAAGCGCAGTCGCTATAGCAACTGGCTACGGGCTGGACGTGAGGATCCGGGAAAGCGCAGTTGGTATAGCAACTGGCTACGGGCTGGACGACCGAGGGGTAAGGGTTCGAATCCCGGTTAGGTCAAGAAATGTCTCTTCTCCAAATCGTCCAGACCGGTTCTGGGGCCCAACCAATCTCCTGTCCAATGTGTACAGGGGGTAAAATGGCAGGGGGCATGAAGCTGACCACTCACCGTCAGCTGGTGCCGAGGTCAAGAAAATGTGGATCTATACGTCCTCTCCCCCATACGCCTTCATGGCGTAATGCTTAATTAGTTAAGCGCAGGGACAACTTCACCTGTTTATCGGAAACATCTATGAGAATATGAACTGGAATTATCTGACTAAGGAGACAGACCAATGGCGGGCTCTTGTGAAATAAAGTATTTGGTCTTCGGGTTCCATAGAGACCAATAATATTGTCACCTGTTTATCCCTTCGTGACTAAAAATAGCGGGATCTGGAGTGGATGATTGATTCGTTGACACCTTTTACAATCAACTCATACTTACAAGCAGTACAGTGCTATCGCTGATTTACACAATTTGCAGTTCACCGTTACACATGCACTAGGATTCCAAGTCGTCACTAGTCGCCTCCTGGTAACTGAATTAAAACAGCCTGACTGTGACTAAATCTTCTAATCACACACTAAGTCTTCACAGAACTCCCAATTTAAATTCTCTAATCCAATACTAAAATGTACTTCTGTAATTCTGAAGAAAGCAGTCTTTTGGAATTCTGTTGTACTCCCTTGTATCCAGTTGTATTCCCATGCTCGTGGTTCTCCCTGTTTCTTCCTTCGAACTGTCTCTCTCATATAGACGCGGCATGGACTGCGCAGCGCAGAAAACGCAGCTTCATTATTTTTGTAGAGGTATGTTTCCACACAGTTGCCTAGCAATGAGTGTCGGCGCGGACCAAAGAGAAAACACCTTTCACCTACTAGGGATGCGTGATTACAGCTCCTTTTTCTAGCAAAGGATGTCCTAGTGTTGAGAGCGCCCGCCTCGAGAACGCGTTTACAGAGCGGTTGCCTATCAGTGGATCTTTAAGTCACCATATTTTGATTAGCTAAGTGACTGTTAGTTTCTCAAGAAAAACTCTGTGCTACAGCGTTATCAGCGTACGAGCTGAAGATAGTACAAAGGCGCATAATTCTGTGTCGGAAATTAAGTTGCTTTTTATGCCATTCCCTCCAAAGAGAGATTGAAGTGAGCTCAGAGTTGCGATGCTTAATCTCGCTTCCAGACCAATTGACAGATTTGAATGGAATTCGATACACAAAGTATATCTTAAAAGTAATCGGGCGACGTTCATATCAGTTCATTTATCGCAAAAGGCTCGTTTTACAGTAAAGTAATGTACGACAAAAAAATATATATATCTTTACAACCCAAGCTTTCTGCTTAAAAGATTTTACGACATGACGCAATATACGAGGGGGTACCCAAAAGAAACCGAACTTATTTTTTTTTAAACTTATTTATTCAAAATTTAAGCACAAACCTTCAATCCCCTTCAAAGTACTCTCCACTTACACTAATACACTGTCTAGTCTTTTATTCCATTTTTCAAAACATTGTCTAAATTAATCTTTTGAGATGCTTGACAGCGCCTCCGTCGTTTTTTCCTTTCATGTCTCTTTTCATTCGAGGAAACAAAGAAAGTCGCACAGGGCAAGGTCGAGTGAGTATGGAGGGTGAGGAACAGGGTTCATACCATTTTTGGTCAAGAATTGTCGTACAGACAGGGCTGTGTGAGCAGGGGCATTGTCATGATGGAAAAACCAGTCACCCGACTGCCACAAATCTGGCCGCTTACCTCCAAGTCACTCCCGACAGCTCCACAATTTCTTCAATGGTCCGTCGTCGATCTTCCTTGATGATTTCACGAATTTTTTCAACATTTTCATGTGTTCGGGCCGTGGAAGGACGACCAGAACGAGGTTTGTCATCAATTGATGTTTCACCATTTTTGAAACGGGAAAACCACTCAAACACTTGAGTTTTCCCCATAGCATCGTCCTTGTACGCCGTTTTTAACATTTCAAGAGTTTCTGTTCCACTTTTCCCGAGCAAAAAGCAGAATTTCACCGCCGCACGCTGTTCACGAAAATCAGCCATTGCAAAAACGACGATCACACAAAACAGTTGTCACTATAAACTCTGCCGAAACTAGTCCTTACCTTCTGAAGCAACGGTAGTCGGCTTATCGACTCAGGAATGTTAGCTCTATACGCTCATAGCGGCAAAGCGCGGTACTACAAAAGCTTTACCCCCCAAAAAATTAGTTCGGTTTCTTCTGGGTACCCCATCGTATATCTAACAAAATGTAAGGAAAGCGATTCTGTGGACAATATCTATGTACGTCTGCTGTTAATCAGCGAGATAGGAGCCGCCATATATCCGAAATTCCTGGGGAAAGAATGAGGAAAGAAATTTTTGACACGAAGCCCAAAACTGGAGAGAGTGTAAAATAAATTCATGCTTATGAAAACTCCCAAGGATATTTATTTTGATTACTTAAGATTTTCAGTTGTAAAAAATTCTGAGACCCTTCAGTCCAGTCCCCGATTCTCACACAATTGGTGCAGGTTGCTCACGTGGTTTGTTTCTTTGAGATTCTTGATAGAAACGTTATACACATATATCATTTTCCAGTTAAGTGTTATATGCCCCTCACATCTCGTCCATCACAGAAATATAAGTAAAAGAGAAAAATTTAATTCTTATTACTCAATCGCTTGTTGCCATGCGCACTTTGCTTCCTGCTGACCGCCACTTTTTCCAGAAATCATCAATTCAAATCGTCTTCTAGGAATTATTTTGCTACATGGTTAGGCTACGTAATTAACACAATTCCTTTGATTTTATTGTATATATAACATTTATAACCTACAGGATTTCTTCAATGGAAAACTGAATTTCTTTTAAGTTGTGTATTTAAAGACACTGTTAGTACTGAGGCCATAAAGGTCTGATGGTAAGAAGATCAGTGAATATGAAGCAGTTTGTGAAATGATAATTGACAAGGGAAACCAAAATACTAGGAGAGAATTAGCCACATGCCCCTTTGTCCAAAACAAATCCCACATGACCCGACCTGGGATCGAACTCCGAAAACTTGAATCATGGTATGGCCAAGCTGAATCTTAGTTATGCATTATTTAAGCGACTGATATTAAAAACTGTAAAAGATTCATGCTTACATTATTTCTCACTGTTGTCTGTTCACGTTAGCTGTTGACATGGTGTAGTTTGGAGCTCCTGAGGGCATTGTGCAATCCAACATCACTTGTGCTGAAGTGCAATTAGACTGATCCGCTTCTGCAAGTATTGTGATTTCATATAATTCCCCGACTTCAGGTAACAGCACTGAAGAAGCAAGAATTGAAAGAAATGCAATTAACATGAAGCTATTATACATTTACAATGAATTGTTTATTCACGTAAACATACTACGTTACATATTATAGCTTCAATTTTAATATCTTCTGCTATTCATGGAAGAGCAGACGTGACTTCGCAATTTTGTGTCCTCTTTCCTGAAAGAGGAAATATTTAGTTTACTCAGAAATTGTATAATTTGTTTTCTGTTTGGCTTTATCAGCAATTTCATGTGATTTCAATATTGTTTTTGTTGTTAAGTCGTTAATAGACTTCTACTTTTTATGGCCAATTGTAACTATAAGCAAGGAACGAACTCTGCATCAACAATGGCCTTGGTGTAAGAACACGCGAAAAGGTTAAGGAATCGAAGAGAGTAAGACAACAAAATAAAATATTCCAAGAAGAATATCTACAATGCGCTGTGCAGAATTTTTGGAATTAAATCACACAACCCTTAATATGTGTAATTCCTTATGAAATTGCGTCATGACATAAGTGCCAATCCGTCACCACTGTCAGTATTGGGAGGGCCTTGCTTATCTCACTGCCGCACAGTACAGAAGTCCGCCGGTGTCATTTGGGGCAGATACTTAACAGCCGGGAAATCGACCTTAAAGCTCCATTTCGTTGTGGAGCTGGAAGGGAGATAGAACCACGAGAAGCTGCCATGGCAATTGCAACAATAGTTCAGGTAAGACAAAGTCTAATGTTTAATGAGAAGCGGCAATACATGTTCACAGTGTAGGAAAAATTTCGTGTGTTACGAGTACTACTAATCCTTCACCCAAAATGCAGGGCTTGTAGATGTGTATCCATGAACCCTGCTTTAATATTCGACGTGACGGTCGCCATTCTGAGTGTTGTCAAACAAAGTCACTGTGTTACAGCAAATGCATTATACCATGAAATAAATAATTAAATTCACATGAAAATAGCAAACAAAAGAGTTATCCATCGCCGACCGCTGGGGTTACCTCCAAGAAGAACATCATGGTCGGCAGGACCAAGGTCTCTATGAGAAAAATGGAGTTAGGGGAAGTGCGGCCGCTTTTTACGCGTATGAAAGCGTACAGGTGCATTTCTCCAGTACGCAGTGACATATTTGGAAATGAATTTAACACTAAGTTTAGAAGAGGGTAACAAATTGATGCACTGCCACTATAATCTAGAAGCTAGGAAAATGGTTCGGATGTTATTACAGTCCTGCCACCGACAAATATGGATCTCTTGGAGTCGAAGGCATAGATATTTTTGTATGTACACAAATCAAGAGAGCCAATACATGAAACCAAATACTGCCTGTGGCAAAATTACTTTTGGTGAGGGACCGTTGAGATGTCTTTCTGGTGAAGAATGTAACCAATACCGTTTTTTTTTCTCTGCTGTTGCCTGAATGATGAAGATATTGCTGAAAACATGTGTAGTAGCACCGATCTTGCTGGCGACCGATGCGAGGCCTCCAGTAAACAGAGCCAAGGGAGCATTCGGACTTGAGGAAGTAATCTCTGGTGAGCTGAGTAGCGTCGGATTTTCTGGTACATGGATATCGGGTAAGTGGAAGGGTGAATTCTACTTCCATCCGCTAAACAAATGATGTCATTGGCCGCTGTATATATGGGAGCAATGCGTAGATTTCCATATATTCTAACTGAAAGCACGTCACTCACACGAAATCCTACTGCTAGTGTGGCACCGTAACAATTTCCTACGCAGTGGCAATGATCGATAAATATGATGCATCAACATTTTCTCGTGGTCGAACTGTCATAATTTTGCAGGTTCCTACAGAAATGCCAAGTCTGTATAATAATTTTGGAGATATGTCACCAAACACTTTTGAATTTAAATTGTGCATATCGCTTGGAATTGTTACATGTCTTTGTTCTTGAACTGTTTATTATTTAATACAGCCAGAGACTCTCTCATCTTAGGAATTTTAGAAATTACATGCGCTCTTTTATTCAGCAAGGGAAAATTTAAGAAATCAAAGAAATATTCACATAGAAGAAGTACAGCAGTACCTCGCATGGTCCGGGTAATCGGTTCCGCCAATATCCCTGACTGTTTGAAACCGGACTAATCGAGGAACTAAATACATACAAAAATTATAATTGGTTCAAAAAAAAATATCCGCTTTTCAATAAATAAAACGCGATTAATAAATTCAAATGTCTTTATTAGAAATAATTTTTAAAAATTCATGTTTTCGCAAATCATTTTTTATTCTCTAAAAATTGCAATATTGATGTCTGCAACATTTTTCTTCTTTGGCCTTTTCTCTTCTTTGTAGCAACGAATTGCATTGTTTACCGTTCGGCGAATTGTAAGACTAAGTTCAATATTGGGATCAACTTCCATGATATGCTCTGACAAGGTTTCAACAATGCAATAATTTGTTATAGTTGTTCAGCTGTTAATTCTCGTGCAGGCACTTCAACACAGTCGTCATTGTCTAAGTTGTCCTCCCGTTCTTCATAAGCCCGTTGTTCATCTGTGTTAATAAGTGTTTCATTATCTAGTTGTTCGATTTGATGCACTCAATTACATTGACAGAATCTAACTCATTGAAACCAAGTTGCTGTCCTATTTCCACTATGTTATTAGTCACTTCAGCAAAATTAGTTTCAAAACCAACGAAATCATTTGCACAATGTGGCATGATATACCGTATTTACGCATGTATAGGCCGCACATTTTTTGCCAAAAATTCAAGAGGAAAACTGGGGTGCGGCTTATATTCGAAATATTCGAAATCACATTTCATTTAAAAAAATTATATTCGTAATTAGTAATACAGGGTGTAATACTCCTGAAATAATATTCCAAGAAAATTATTTTTTCTATAATTTCTGTCTGAAAATTGTGCTGCGGCCTATACACGCACGCGGCCTATACATGCGTAAATACGGTATTTCCATACTGCCCTCTTATTGCTTGCCGTTAATTCATGCCATGCTTCGCCTATATTTTCGATAACGTTTCTGATGTTGTACTCTTCCAAAATTCCGTTAAAGTAGTGCTCTTCTCGCCTCCTCCAGCGATAGCTGTCATGTACGATATATATTTCAAATTTTTTCTGGGGTTCCCCGTTGTATATATATTTACCTATGCTCGGGTCTTTCGTTCTTGAGCTCTTATAACTTTAAAACCACATGAAAATAAACCGCACAAAAAGAGACTTGACCGTATAAAGGGTATATGTATTAAAATAATTTTGTGTACTAATTTTTCAGAATTTATTTTTATTTTTCTCAATCAAAATTTAGTTTTTTTCGAAATTTTCAAACAGGACCACAGTGAATCCGGACTATGCAAGGTATTGCTGTAATTTATTTCTATAAAAGGTCAATGGTAGAGTTAGAAATTTGGCTAAAATTATCTCGAAATTAAGCAGGAACCATAATCTATGCTCTGCCTGCTCAAATGAAAACTATTTCAGATTACTGCTGTGACCACTAATATTGTGCATGGATCCATCTGTCGCATAATTTGGCGAGTTTCCAGGTACTGAATATAAAATACCAAAGTGGACTTCTATTTCCAATAAGATGTATTCTCTGCCCCATTATTTTGTGTTTAGGTTTCTGGAAATTAGTGATTTCGGATTGTGTCCGACCATGGAGACTGATACTGCGTAGCTAAACACGGTATTTTGTAAATCGTAATAAAGTTCCTTCTGCCAAAATCGATAAGTAACCGTCATGTTCCGTTGGAGGTGCCTTGATACGTTTCCTCGACGGAACCTCTCGGTTTTGCATGGACGTTTCCTATTCATCAGAGCCAGGTGATCCTCTGGGATATCAACGGAGCTCTAAAAACGCGGACAACATATCGGGTGCGGCAATTGGGAAATCTAGATCACAATGAACCAGCAATATTATCAAAGGGGTTACGAAATTCACCAACTGTTTATCGCAACAAAGCCGATCACTACCCTAACAACACCGAAACAGACTTGTCACTTTACGCGTATTTTGTTCCTTTACTGATGTACCTATTCTGTGTTGTTCTCGTGTAAGAAACAACCGACATCGCGTAACCCTCTCTGAAGGGAACATTCTGTGTTTGTGGCCAGTAGGAGACCATTCTGTGGGCATTTGCTCCACATGTATTTACGTATACCCCATATTTTTCACGATCCAAGTGCTCCTTTGAGCGGTCTACCTCAAGGTAAATGGATGGAAGTGCATCTCGTGTGAAGGTATCCAGTTCGAATCACATCTGACAACCAGATATATTGTCTGGAAGTGTTCAGTTTCCTGCGGTACTTACAGACAAGTACCTTAAAATAAGCCACGGCTGATTCCTCCCAGATCTTTCCCTGGTCTTCACTCAAAGCCCTACGATTTCTCTTACGAAGCAAGTTTTTAAAATTTTTATTAAATAAACCATGGATGAAAATCCCAAAACAATAATGAGTGACCTGGAATTTGTTTAAGCAGGATGATTCAAATATTAGTTCTATGTAGTGTCCAATGGAATGAAAATGTAGTCACAAACGATGTGTAAGAAAAGATTTGGATGAAGGTAATTGTGGCCTACTTTAAAGTATCATTTCAGTCGAGGCTTGAAGAGATTAAAGACAAGCTCGAAATCATTTCAGGAAGGTCGGTACTCCGGCTTGGTTTCGAAATCTTACAAAAGAAACCAAAAGTCAGTCAAGTAACCGACACATGAAAGTCTGCACCATTCCCCCCAAGTGAATTCTGGGAGTAGGCTTAGATTAAACAGACCACTGTCACTTATATCTGTACAGTTAGGAGCCAGTCGTAATTCTGAGGCTGTTTCTCACACTGCCCTACATAAAAGTGTAGCTGAAAAAGCATCAGTATTCCGGTATGTTCATTCAATTAAACAATAAAAATGTATCCTGTTGAGAGAAGACAGGATCGGCAAGAATGCCTTATGTGATAAAACTGAAAGCAAATCCTGTCAGAACCATGAACTTGAAAAGACCAATTTCTAATAACCGGGTAATTAAAATTCCTGCCATTTCACATAACACGCGACTTCTTTACCATCACGCACGAACCACATTTTTCTCCTCTGGCGAGAGTTCATGAACCATCGTCTCTCTCGGCCAGTTCGATGCCATGTCATGCCAGTATAAGCAGGTCAGAAATATTAGATCTTAGGCCTTCAACAGTGACATGATCCCAAACAACAAATCTCTGGTTCATCGCTTAATCCTTTCCATTCTAAAAATATGTGAGTAGTTTAGAGACACTAATCCCAGTCTTAGTATATTTACTGTCTAACAGCGGCGGTGCAAGGAAACCCGAAATCACGAATTTATATACAGGACTTTCCAGAAAGAATGCTACCATTTTAAACTGCTATAATTATGTTAATTATTAGCTAAAACGATTTAGTATATCTAAAAACATAGAAAAACTCCTGAAGTTTCACGTATCATCTGCATTTAAATGCGTTTTTTTTTACTGCCGCTAGACAGCGCCGTGAACAAAAATGGCGACTCGACAACAAAGAACGTTCTGTGTTCTGCGATTCGCGAAGTCAGAATCGGTCATCATTGTTCAACGTGGGTTTTGCAAACAATTTCAAAGTGATCCACCGTATAAGACAATTATTCTTGGGTGGTATCGACAGTTCCTTGTTTTAAAATATATTAAATCGTTTTCAGATAATAATTAACATAATTACAGTAATTTAAAATGGTAGCATTCTTTTTGGANTGGCTCGTGCTGTTTCCGGATACACGGCCAGATTTACCATTTGGTCTCACCGCTGTATCAAAACAAGGATGCGGACAACTTTATTTCTTTTATTCTTCTGAAGCAAGAACAAATCGACTTGTAAGCCAATCAGACCAAAGCTGTATGGCCAAATTAATGCAATGATGTGATGCGACGCTGCGATAAATCATGTAACCGAATGCATCAAACGAAATGACTTATAGGAATAAATAGATAAATTGCGTCGATATTTCTCAATAACCTGTAAGTTCTACTATAATGGCGTATACTGCTCCGGGTGCAGCTAGTTATAATATATTTTCAGTTTGTATCGATCTAATCTGACACTACTTCCTCCAATGTTGAAATCATACTTACAAAAAAAAACTGTTCTTAAAACAAAAGAATTTCACGTATATCTTCATTTGTATATAGTGGTTTCACTGAAGCAATTCCGAGAATTTTAATTTGTTGATTTTACTCCATTGTCTTCTTGTATCCATTTTTCTTCGTGTCAAGTGGGCATGTGATTCTGTGGTTACAAAATAATTCAAAGTTAGGGATTTTTGTTTCGAATATAGATATTATTCCGGTATCTTAGTTTTGCCGTTTATCCACATGAATAATATGCAAGAAAAATACTGTCTGTAATTCTGTATATGTTATGCTGACTAGTTTCGTCAAGAATATAAATTATGACTCCATGCTGTGTTTATTATCTCAGATAATATTAGATCTTAATTTTCTTGAAAATTTGCAATTATATACCCGAATTCTCAAAGAGCAAGGCGAGGTGAAGTAAGAGCTAATAGTGTGTGTGGAATTTACAGCGATCTGAACAATCCGGGAAGGTTTCAAAACAACAGAGGTTAAAAAGACATAAAGCTCAAATTTGGAGATGTTCTGGACTGGAGTCCAATTTTGTTGATATCAAAAGGCTTATTCTGCAGGAGAGGGACGTCATATATCTTGATTCGGATAAGAGAACCGAAAGAATGCCCAGTATTATGTTCACTCGAACTGAATGCATCTGACTGCACAGGGTACCAAGGACTAGGCTGTAGACTCACTGCAACTGGATACTTGTAAGGCTGCAAGGCGTAAGAGTACCAAGGAGATTGTGCACAAAGTATAAAGAACACCAAAACGTGGGCTGGCTGAAAATTGACACAAGAGCTAGGGATATTCAAAACAGTGATTTCTAAACAAATAGGTTGCCTGTGATTGGGCTTCCTCAAACCGGTTACTTCTGAGTACAACTCAGCACAGTAGTCGCCGAAGTCATTTCTAAGTCCTGATGTTGACCTGTGGATGACGACAGAAGTCTAGCGTGAAGGTTGTTGCCAATATTTTGGATGAACATGGTGTATACATCGCCATTGCCCTGAAGAGGGAAGCAGTATGTTCCTCCAAAACGTTGGCGAACACCTACCAGAGTCTACTGTGTCAATCCATAAGATCACAACATGGATATTCGCCGCACTGAGAGCTTCCAGTTTTATAACTTTTCTGTATGTTTATTTTTTGGTTTGTTTCACGATGCTGTGTTTATGTCATTTGAAAGGAACTTGGCTGTAACTTTTGCCGGCCAGTTTCCTTTCCTGATTTGATTACATCATTGAACATGTTATTTACCCAAATATTTTGTAGTATTTAGCAGGCCTTGCCTTCGAAGTAAAAGCACTCATAGTAGCAGAGTATGTGCCAACTGTCCCTACCTTTATGGCCGTATGTAGCTTTCTTTCTGCTTATTATTGCCGTTGTTGTCAATACTCCTACAGTTGTTACAATATAAAATTTTATTTCTCTGTGTCTCGCAGGAACTCAGTTTCTTTACACGGACCGACTTACAGGGGACGTCCTAAAGTACGATGTGTCGACGCTTTCTGCCTCCGTTTTAGTTAAACGCCCAGTCTTGGTGAGTACAGAGCCTCTGTTATGCGGTGGAATTTCCAAACCTGACCATACTTGCAGGTCGTGTTCATTGGCAGTGTAACAGCCTCTGATATATTTTGTATTGCAGCACCATTGTTTGGCTTATGCATAACTTTAGATGTACTGGCAAACTACAATATAGACAAAAGTAGCAACATTAGAAATCATAACTCCATCGAATAGGGTCTGCTTAAAAAATTAGGTAATTATTCTACAAGTCAAAGAACTTTCTGTACTTACGGAAATCGAACGTTTTTCGCCGTTTTCACAGAAGTCCGTGAGTGGCCGCTGTGTGTGGTTCTGAGCAGATTCAATTCACAGTTGTCTTCTGGAGCAAGACGCCATGTAGTGATCTACAGGATAGTCCCAGAAGATAAGCTGTGAAAACCTCATATTCTACACAGATTAATTTCCCTTCACATCTTCACATTCTGCTTTCTAATATCATTCATTCATGAATTGCTCTAAAGCGCTTTGTTGCATCCTGCTCTCGTCTCCAGGTTCGTAATCATTTTCACACAGACGGTAGGACTCCTTGGACTAATGATCAGCCGTCGCAAGGCCGATACCTACTCACAGGACAACACAAACACAGAAACTCACACACACAGGCGGCAGGACTCCTTGGATTAGTGATCAGCCGTCGCAAGGCCGATACCTACTCACAGGACAACACAAACACAGAAACTCACACACAGACGTCCATACCTTGAGTGAGATTAGAACCCACGATCCCAGCTTTCGAGCAAGGGAAGACAATTCATGCCTTAGACCGCGGGGCCACTGTGATCGGCCTCTGTTTTCTAATATAGACCTAAATTATCCTCCCATAAACACTTACGTCTACGAATAATTCTCATGCCTTGGGAATGCCTAAGAAAATAATTATATCTTTCCTTGAAAAATTCCGTCTTCTGGCACGTAGCGCCTTGTGGATATTGTGTAAACCGACGTTTCGGAGGAACTTATCGTCTCCATCTTCAGGGTATAAAATCCGCGAGCAAGGAACCAGCGTGAGCAGGTGGCTGCAGCGAGATTATTTTAAAATGTTAATTTTTAGAGTAGTTAGAACATTTATACTAAAATTAAAATTCAATTTGTACAACCGTTCTTTCTGTCCTCTACATCGTTACGTTTTCCACCGTATGGACCTTACAGCCTCTCATGTTGTAAAGTGAACCCCAAGTTATGTTCAGTGGATTCGGTGGCGTAAGAAGTGTATATCAGTTAGAGTTCTTTGGACTCCGAAACAATGTAGGACAACGGCGATATTAAGAACTTATTAACGATCAGTTCATTTTTCATTGAGGATAGGCTTACTGTATTCACAGATGAATAATTTAAAAAGTACGCAAGACCTTACGTAGCAAGTTTTCAGTTCACTGGTACAAACACATACTGTTTCCATTTTCTGTGCCTAATACAACTTTTTGTGAGGGAGACGAGCGGGCTCATTCCATACGCGGTTTAATACTCCGCTTTACATCTTGAGAATACAAACAAGTGTTGATCATATAATGTTCGTTTGCTTCTCAGTAATGTTATTTGTATATATTTGCTTTATCTCAAAAATATAATAAGTCAGTTGTAATAATTCGTAGCTCTTCAACAATATTTAAACTACAGAATTTTTCTCGCGAAATTATCCCGTCCCCGGGCACGCAGAAATACACTGCTTGTGACTAAAGGAAACTTCTCATGTCTACTCTAGAATCTAGTTTCAGTAACACTCTCCTTAACGACGCCCTAACAATAGGTTTGTGGCCTCCAAATAGGACGTACCAGTGACAGCAAATGACGAGTATGGGCGGATTTGGAAGAAAGCGATCATGGCCACTTAGAATATTCCATCGAACAAAGCTGCTGAGTCTTAGTAAAACCAAGAATGTTGTGAGAAAAAACAGTCCTGTGGCAGACGTTCTATCGAATTATCTTGAGAACAGCAGTCGCAGAATTTTCTGCCTCCGGGTTGCATGTCTTGCATTAATAAAGAGCATTCCAGAGAATAATAAAATGGTGTTGCGGTTCCTAGTACAGTGACGTATAAACTATCCAACTGTCTGCTTCAGTTTGTTGATTGACAGATTCGTTTAACTGCATATCGTGCGACCACAAACCTTGAAGCTGCAACGTCAAAGACAGTCGTTAGTTGTCTGAAGTGAGACGATGCATTTTCAGGAAAGCAGCGGAGTAATTTCCTCTAGGACATTGAACATACATTTTACTTTTCACTTTTCCGTTTAAAGAATTGTATCAGGGTATTTTATGAATTTTTGCATTTCTTCTTTCTTTCTTTCTTAGATTGGGGTTTCTTGTAACCAGGCGTGTAAAAATCCTGTTTCTTTCCAAGTAATTTAAATTTCAAAGTTTTCGAGTGAGTGTAACATACGACAAGCACTTCTCAGAAGATTTCCTCTGAATTGGAAGAAACTCTGTACAAAAACAAAAGCAAAAAGGCACGTTCCTTTGAAACGTTAGTTGACTTTCAACTACTATACTGTGTTACATAACAGAAATAGAACTCTTCGGTTACAACAGATGTAGACGTATTTTTCAAAGCCGTTATTTTCAATTTTGAGCAAATTTTTAAGCGTGAACTTAATTTGTTGTCGATTTTGCTGACAGGCCTAATAATCAGCAAAGGCACAACACTGCAAATCTAGTACACGCTACTGCTATAAGCGTAATCAACACTACAGACCGGCATATGCACTGCAAATATAGTGTACTCGTATATTTAACTTGCTTTCATTACTCCGTCAAATATGCACTACGACGAAAAATGTCAGAAATTAAATTTGTATAATTTATATGAACGAGATCTATGTTCTGTGTCATGTATTAAATTAGATTTGATGAAATGAAATGTACATTTCGTGTAGAACTCCTGAAAGAGATGTCAAATATACATAGTTTAGTTGGAAAACCTGGAAGAAAGAGGTAAAGTGGGAGATGAAGGCGCAGATGAGGGGTTAATATTGAAGTGAGTGCGGAAGAAAAAAATTGAGATTGTGGACTGGATTCATTGTGTAAACACGAGAATGTACTTTCGCGTCCAATATATTTGCAAAATTTCTTGATTCGTTAATTGACCTTTAACTTATTAAGGACTCTGTTATATTGCGCTGATTAACGTATTTTACTGCGCGTTTGCAAAAATGTGAAGCAGGTATTACAGTGTACCAGTGGGAATCGAAATAAAATATTTTGATATATTTTAAAGTACAATGCCATAAGCAATTTCTGCAAAATCCATTTAGTAATACTGGAGATAAAAATTTGGGAACATATAGCAACATATTTTCCACGTTGCCAGTTCACTTTATGTACCGTTTAAAAGAGACTGTCAAATGTCGGAACAAAGTCATTCTACGCTTTCTTTCTCTGTAGCCGCGCCGCTGTGCATGCGCCCAAGTTTAGCTGCACCGTTGCACCTCGGGCGGTGTGAGTCAACAGAAAGCCCCGAACTACCGACAGTTTTCGCAATACGCCGTTCCTCCAGTGGGGGTATGTAATCAATCACGAGCCGCGGGCTGCAGGCGGTCGGCGGGTCCCCACACTGGCGCCATCCATGTCTCACCTTGTAGACATGCGCGGTGTGGGATCTTCCATGCAGGCCTATTTATTCAAATTTTGAACGTAACTTTGTTCTCACGAGACTGTACCGCAGACACCAGGAGCTCAACCTTATCCTGAGCTGCTTCAGTCCACGTCAGTAGCCAAGTAACTAACGCGAAAATCAAGGATATTTCCTGAAAAATTACAGTTACTCAGCTAGCAAAGAATTACTTGCTTTTGTGAAAACTGGAAAATCTTTATAGCATACAGGAAGCTCGCCGCTGAGTCATGTGCCATTTGTATACAGTCCGTTTCCTGACAATATATTTTACATTCGTATTAATATTATCCTCGCAGTTTTGTTTCTATTTTCCCGGCGGTATCGTTCCTTGAGGATTCACACTTATGTTTCTGATCTTCCTATGCGCGCTATGTGCCTCAATCTTTGTATTCTAGTTGATTTAATTGTCCTAATTAATTAAGGGATGCAGATTATAAATCTCCTCATTCTGTAGTTATATCCATTCGTTGTTACTTCCTCTGTCTCAGGTCAACGTCATGAACTGTTTACGTATATGTATTTTTTAAATATGTGCCAAATTGTTAAGTGATTCATATAAAAGTTACAGACATAAATTCGATTTGTGTTTTGAATATATTCCAATATGCCTGGTGTTTATGATGAATCGATTAAATATATAAAAGTAAAGCTATGCCTGTAATAGGCCGTGAAGGCCCATGGCGTTGCGAGAGGTTGAGGCTCCTACATCTTCTAGACAATCGGCTAACAGATGGCGGTAAAGTTGTCAACCTTACATACAGGCCGTCCTTTAACCCCAACGAAGATTCCTGGTACTTATTTCTGTTGGATGCTTAGTAGGCCCCAGGGTGATAGAGCAGCTGGAAGGATTAGGTAATTAAAAAAAAATCCAACTCTTCGCGACTCGAACCCGCTACCTTCGGGCTTGTAGCATAATGTCTCAACCAACTACGCTACCGCG